TGTCAAGTGCTTGAGTTAGTTTTCTGTAATATAATACTCGTGTTATATTCCTTCCCGGTCGTATCAGTTAACCATAATGGTAATGTTATTATCGCTAGCAATTTGTATTCCCTAATGGGCATTGCACAATATGATGACGTTTGCCCAATTTACATCCCCTTATGAAGCCTAAATTCATCATAAATTGTGAGTCATTCCTGATACCGATTAATAACATAGTAAGAATTCCTGTTAAACTCATTTGAAACAAAACAAAAAACTGCATGTACACGTACCAGTCCATTCCCGATAACAGCCAATATCGAAATGATCACATAGATAGTGGTGTAGACGATCTCTTCCCATTCATTGAATCGACGAAGGGATGTTTGAAGTTGATAGAAAAATACCTGGAACAAAACGCAGGCGTGTAAAAAAATACTTTCTTAATTTTAAACAACATTCAAGACAGTGAGACTAGGTACAATAATTTCGTACTATGTTCTAACAAAAATCTTCGTTCAGAGCAAAATATTCTGAGCTAGTTTCAGCGAGTCTGTGTGAGATATGATTAAGCACAATGACTACCGAGACTGAGGACACGACTAAGATTCAATTGACATCTAAGACATCGAACTGTGTAGCTTCGAAGATTCATCGACGTGCAAATTTCTTGCAAATTTATGTTGATTCCCAGCAATGGTTAAGTCTCAAAGCGCTTTTTTATTGCATTTCGGCTTGCCAACATTTCCCGCAAATTACAAAACCTTTCTCAAAGCTATCCACTATCAATAGATTTTTTCTTCAAACGAAGCTAACAAAGTGATACCTGTAGACAATAATCATCAAATGGAGCGGATCTGTAGGCAGCTTCCGATATAGCGTTACGGTCGAGCGATCGGTTACAGTACTTGTCAAGATCTTCGACATTCATTATCATAACCTGGAAGTATGAAGCATAAAATAAAGATTGCTAACATACTTAATAGTACTTCCCCATAACGGAAGAGCTCATTTCCTAAGCTGGATGTTCTT